AATAATAGCCAGGCCAAATTAATTGAGTTACATTATGCATTAGTGCGTTTCTGTGTGCAAAACCCCAAAACAGCAGCAACAATACATCAGTTGGCAAGTGAAGCCGAAATATTTCACAGCCATCCGAACTGCTTGAATGGTCGAAATGCAATTGGAATTACAACGCTCGCCGCAGAGGGGACACACAGATACACACCCACACATACACCCACAGTCGGCCACTAACTGACATTCTAAATATTGCATACATCTTGTGCATTGTGTCCATGTGGCAAATAATTATGGCATTAATATTCCTATGCAAATATATGCACAGTGCTTTGTTCGCCGTATCTCACATCTAGGCATCCGTGAGATACAATCCGCCTGTTCGGTTTTGCTGGCGGAGTGAGGAGTGAGTCGGCCATGTGTTCATTAATACAATTATGACCGCAACAGGCGTGGGGCATAAACACAGGTCGATCCCCAAGAGAGGCGTGTAAATGTATACTTAAAACAAAAACTGTTTGAATTGGGAGGATGTAAATAAAAATGGGTTGGGAAAATATATTTTTAAATGTAAACACTTTTTATAAAAATTGTTAACAAAAGGTAAGGTCGCGATATAGATTCCTAGTGCTACCCTATCTCCCATTATCTTTTTTTGACGTTTTAAAATATTTTTTTTTGCATTAAAGCTTAGAAATAATCTTTAGCCGGTACTGTATATCCAGAATGGAAGGTGTCTTTTAGATTAAAAAATACTGTTGCATACTTTTAGACACCTTTATAAGTGATTTCATAGGAATGAAGGTGTGATGTCAAAAAAATTTATATTTACTAAAAATTTTTTCTTTACAATTTTTTATAAGTGCCTAAGAGGTAAACATTTGTATCTATATTATTTAAATTTATTACTTTTTAATCCAATGAGAAGAAAATCATTCATTATTATTTTAAATAGACTTAAATTTTTCCTTGTGCATGCATTTAGTTATCCGCTTGTTTCTTTCGCCACCGAAACGGTAAAGTAATCCCCATTAGTGAGTTTTGTTTAATCGCATCAGCCAGCCGAAAATCCAAATCAACGCCAGCTGCAGCTGCAGCTTCCTCGGGGCAGGCCGAAATGTATAATCAAGCAGGTACAGACTGTTAATGGATCTAATACCCCATATCCCGTATTCCGTATTCCAGATCCCCTTCGCGGCAAAGACCACCCAACACAGCACAGCCCCATCTCATTCCCATTCCAACCCCTACTAAGCACAGATTTGGTTCGCTCTAATGAGCTCTGCGTGCAGCTTAAGGGCAACTCCAGCACGGCTGCTTCTATTTGCGGCACTTTGCCAATATGTGGCTAAAATTACTTGCAACTGCCGGCGGCGGGGTGCAGATACATCACCACCAGATGCATTTTAATTGGAATACCGAATACCAAATACCGAAGCGGCGAATAATAGCGCACAAAAAAAATGTGTACAAACAAAAAGGCGGCGACTGCCCAATTAGAAGCCTATTAGTGGCAGCCACCACCCAAACACCCCACCCACTATCCACTTCCAATCGGAGCTGCTCCATTGTTACTGCAAATATTGCAACACGAATCGCCCGGCGCCCAAAGCAAGGCAACAAATTATGCCGAATGGCTAATGAATAAATATCTGCAACTGGCACAGAACTTCCTACTTCCCTCCGCCCTCCGATAGTTTGGCATCCTTTGAGATGCACTAAAGAAAATATTTAGCTTGACTTTCTACATTTTATAAAAATTAAAGGAAATGATAAGAATAAAGAAAACATACTTCTTAAAGCGTTTTATGTTAAATGCATTTTTTATGCTGACAATCTAAGGATCATATTATAAAAAATGTTAAGATAAAAGTATTTTTCCTCATTTTTGCATTCGAGTTTTTGGTTAAAAATATACTTTACGGAAAATCTCATATTTTTTTTTTTAAGTAGATTTAATTTTTTTATAATGGTTTTTAAAATTACAATTTTTTAAGTACCAAAATGATAAAAAAAATGTTAAATATAATGTATTATACGGAAAATCTACGAATAATATTTCTTGGCGTTACAATTATTCAGATTGTTAAAAAAATATGTTTTTTAATTTTTCATACATGTTCTGGTTTACAGAAATATACATTTTTTTAAAAAACTCTCATATTTTTCTTATATATTATTTTTATTCAAGTAAACAATATTATACTTGCATTTTTTCCGCCCTTGTTTATCCTCTATTTAAAAAACGTATTTATCATTTTTATTTGCTGCCGCGCTGTTGGCGCTGAAGCTGCACTTATGAGAGAGCGCAGCGAAAAGCGCAAACAACGGGGAAAAAGCGGCAAATGCAGTTTTGTATCTCTGGCTAGTAGATGTAGCCTGTGCAAATGCATGTATCTGTGTGTGTACTTTGTGGCATGCCACATAAACTTGACGCCGCTGCTACTGCTGTGTGATATTTTAGCATTGAGCAGCTCTCTATCCCACTCCATCGCCCTCTGGGATATTTAAATCCTTGTTCCTACGCAGGGATAGCTGGGATACGCTGCAGCAAGGACTCGGCGCTGTTGGCTTTTGTATGCGCATTAATGCAACGACTCTCATGTTTATTCACACACAAATTTGCAGCGAATACAACGCACAGAGAGAAACACTGCGGTGATAGCGGGTTGCATTTGCACTGGGAAACTCCCCTCCCCTCCCGGATTTCCCAGGATACACTCCTCGCACTTGGCTGGAGCAATCTGCTGGCAAATGCGCTTTACATTTTGCACACGCTAATACAATTTAATGGTCGCATTAATTTGGCGCATCTGTTGCATTTTAAAACACGCACACACACACAGTGTACACCCACGCAGAGATACAGATACAATGGTACACAGATACAGATACACATTGAAGGAGCGGCTGGCTGGCTGAAACCGCAGGATACTTTGCTCACTTTGTTGTCGGCGGGGGAGGTTAAAGCATTTGCCAACTGCAAATAAAGTTGCGCTCAGCTCTCAGCTCTCAGCTAAATATTAATTCTAACCAAGTTAGGGGAAACTACTTTAATGGCGGGGGCGTGGCAGCCGCACAACTGCTTAATCCTTGGCTGTAGTCGGAATGAAGATTGAGATACATGATTCGCTCTGTTCTGGCGCGGACAAAAAAGATCTGATATATTCTGCCAGCAGGCAATAACAGTTCCACATCTTCTTGTTTTCACCAATGAGCGGTTGAATAGAGACTTTATGGTGCACTGACATAAAATTTATATTCATACAAACATGAAATTAAATTAAATTTCAATAAGTTAAAGAAAACTTAAAATTAATGATCTCTACTTTGGTGTATTTTTAAATGCCTACATAAATAAATATTAAACATTTATTTAAAGAAAAATAAAATCATTGAAAGGATTTGCATCATTTAAACTTTATCATAACATAAATAAATAAAATTTAAAAATAAAATTTAAATAAATAAAATTTAAAAAAAGTAAATTAATTTACTTTAAAGAATGATTTATCAAAATGAAAAGGAAGTAAAAATATTATTCAGACAGCACTAAAAAAAGAATAAGTTAATAATTTTTGACCTTAAAAAATATAAAATTAAATTTTAAATTTAAAAATTTAATGAAAAAACTCTTTCAGAAAAATGTAAATTACTATTTGCATTACGAACTTGGCCGATTCAAAACACGTAATAGAGAATTCCCTCTCCATCGCCGTCGCTAATGCATGGCAACTTTGTTATTGCTGCCAATTAGGTTGGCATTCTGTTTGTGCCAATGTTTGCATATTATTTCTGCCCAATTTGCATTGATGCAATATTGTCCATGTTCCGCGACACCATTCCCTCTTGTTCACGGAGCCGCGTCAAATGCAGAGAATGTCAAAATTTAAATATTGAAAGTGACGTTGGGAAAGCTGGGGAAAAACCGGAAAAACCCCCTCGTGTTGCGGGCGTGGCACTAAGCGGATAAGCGCTTGTTAAATTTTTAATGCGTTGCATAATTTTTAGTTCGTCGAGGATATTTTGCACAAAATATATGCAGTATATGTTTGCAATATATTTTAATTCGAATGGCGGATGGCGAAACGCAGCGTGAGTGCTGTTGGCTGCATTTGAAATGAGCCGCATGTGGCGATGGCCGATTAAGCCCGGCTTAGAAGCTGCACATTCCTCATTTCGCACTCGACAATGATCCATTTATTTGCCCTGCCAACTGCCAGCCATGCAAATTTATATTAATTATAATTTTCGCAGCCATGTCTTCTCATCAATTATCTGAGTTTGCCCGCCGGCTCACTTCGCTTTTTCTCATATCTCCTGTACTCTTCTGTTCTGTTCTGCTCTGTGCATTTAAATTTTTCGCCAGCAAAGTCCTTGATAAACATTTTTCAATTAATTTTTATTTGCTGCCGCCGACATTTCTTTGTCCACACACGCGCATACATTTATGTACGTTGCTGCCGTGCACATCAGTAGCAGCAACAGCAGCAACATCATCGCCTTTATGTGTTTCACGTATTTCTTTAACGGATTTCCACATGTCTCACTTTTTGAGAAAAACTTGTCGAGATGGCACACGCATTGTCAAGCCCACTCACACACAGGCATGCGGAGATAAGGCGAGACAGACAGAAGCACAAGCAGAAACAGAAAGAAAATTTTACACGCTCGGGAATAAAAGAGAATGGGCAGCAGCGGCGCGTGAAAAACTCGTCCGGAAGCGGAGGAAAACTCGAGATGTGATAGCCAAAATTCGGGGGTTTGATAAACGAAGCAGATACTCAAATTGAAATTTTAAAAATATTTTAGGTTGAGATATTTAAAGTTTAACAATAAATTATTAAACAAACTAAAGGTTAAGCTACAGGTAAATTTAATAAATTAGATTTTAGTGAGGATATTATTTTTACAATTGAATACAAGTTTTATGAAAATTTTCCAAATTCTGGATCAAATCACAAATCATCTTAGAAAGCCAGCTCAGAAACTTATTTCATCGACCTAGTATAGTATCGAATCGGCAGAGAACAAAACACTCAAAAATGTTCGCCCGAGTCCTGAAACCAAGCCTAGTTTTACGCAGGAGCGTGACCACCACTTCATCCTTGCGTTACAAGGATCCCATTTACCACATTTTTCTGGACAAGGTGCGTGAGTACCGACTGAAGAGCCCAACCGGCAAGCCCATTGATCCTGGTCCGGAATACGACGCGGAACTAAAGGAGTCTCTTGAGCGTCTGGCTCTTCAATACGGTGGCGGTGAGGGCGTTGATATGCTGGAGTTCCCTAAATTCAAGTTGCCCGATATAGATGTTGATCCCATTTCGGTTTTGGAGTTGTGAGTTTTCTTTTTATTTAATAAAAAATTTAAAATTGAAATGCATAATACTCCCAAAGACCAGAAAACCAACCTAAGCCGGAGAAAAAAGGTTCTAAAGATGATAAAGATGAGAAAGTAAAGGGTAAAGATGATAAGAAAGCAAAGAGTGGTGATAAAGATGTGAAGGCCAAAGATGACAAGAAATCGACTGAAACAAAGGGCAAGGACGAAAAGGACAAGAAAAAGTAGTGTCAAACTAAACAAAAATTTAACTAAAATTATTCTTAATTTTTTTTCGATTTTGGATAAATTTCAATAAAGTTCGTCTGTACTAAAGATTGGTTTTTTAATATTTAATATTAAGACAATCTAACTTAAACTTAACCTAAGCAAAACAAATATTCGTTTGGATTAAGAGGCATTTTTTGTTATACAGAAAACCTCGATTTCGCGGCTCTTTAACCTTAAACGCCTCCCTTACTTGTGCTACCCATTTGTAACTGTTCCAGGATATAATCAAAAAAGGACCCACCGAAATATTTATTAAGCACATACATGCATAAGCAGCACTCACCGACACATGCACATGCTTTTGCCATGTTAAGTAATTCCTTAAACAACACAACAGGTCGCCGCCATTGGCATGGCCTTGTCCTCCTCCCCTTCGGAGGTCCTCCTCCCCTTTGCCCTTCCCACGGAGGAGGTTCGCTGTAACTGACGCTGAGTGGCAGACACACAGATACTCACATAAGCAAATTGAATTTAATGCTTTCTGCTGTTGCTCTTGATATAAAGTGGAAGAGGAAGAAGGAGGGGTAGCGAGTGTAAGAGAGAGACAAACAAATCAAGAGACGTCGCGGCGGAAATAAAAGCCAAACGCACAAATAAATACGCACAAGTACATAAATTTAAATTATTTTCGTGGCCCGGCCTCGCTTTCATTTAAGCTTTTTTATTTTATTATGCTTGCTCCGCTCCGCTCAAGTCCGCTTCGAGGATTCAAGGATCCAAGGATCCAGAACCAGACGTCCTGGCACACTTTCTGAATGCCATAAGAGAGGTAGTACCTCTGTGTATATATGTATCTGTATCTGATTCTGTATCTGTATCTGGTACCGCTTCTGCGTTAATCTGTATCTGTGTATCCTGTGTAACTGTGGCAGCGCATCTTCAGCTGTCTCTTAGCGAACTATGCGGCCGCATCGAGCCAACAACTACACACAAACACGGCCAAGACGTCCTTGGTCCCTGTGTAAGGCATGTTAACTGGGATTTGACAGCTCGTAAATAATATTTCGCCTGTTTGCTGGCTCGGCACAACGAGAGCAACGTCTTGCACAAGGCCGAAACAATTACAGTGGGCTGGGATGGGAGGAATATCTTTTCAAGATTCTTATCTTCGGTATTTAGCTAAACAAAATATAAATTTCAATCCAATATGTCAATAGATACTTGGGGAAAATTAAAAAAAAAAATTTTTACTGAATTTTGTACTGAAAACTTTTAAAATTCATGGCGAATATTTATTTGAGAGTACTATATAAATATTTTATTAATTTTAAAAATATGTAGAATCGATTTTCTTTTACAAATGAATTCAATGATTTTAATTTGTTTAAAAAATGGATTAATTATCTAAATTAATATTTAAAAAAAAAACAACTAATTTCTTTTTAAAAATTGTAATATTTATAATTTGAGTGTGCTCATGCCTCCCTAACTTCCACCATCTAATATTAATTATAATTCCTAGTTCTTAAACCACTGTGACCTATCCGATGGCAGTCATGTGAAAACGAGAAACGCATTTCATTTTTAAGCTTTCTCCTCCTTGGCTCTGCTTGTTAAACAATCTTTTTACATGACATATGTGGGTGGTTGGTTCATCCGTGGAGGAGTCAGATTCGGATGAGATGCGGTGGCTGTCCTGGCATGTCCCGATTTTTCGGTCCCACTGCCTTTTCCACTCTCATTATGCGCACTCCCCAAGCCGGCTTATTAAATTTTCATAAGGCACAGGGGCTCGTAAAAATTGTACTCGGCCGCTTTTAAGCGCAAGTGGATTAAAATTAAAGCATCGAAGAAGAGGGCGGCGACTTCAAAGGCAAACCCATAATTAAAGCCATGAAAACTGTCCACAATTCGATTGCCAAAAACTGAATTAAACTGGGAACTCGACCATCCAGCCAAGAAATCAGAGAAGTTGTGAAACCCGAAAAGCAGGAAGACTGAAAACCACAAGAGAGTGGAGTTCAGAAGGAGGAGGACCTTCTCAACCTCTTGATTCGCTCAACTGGAAGAAGATGATGGCGATGACGAGGCGGCGAGAGATAGCTAAGGTCGCTTTTCCGCTTTTCCGACCTATAAACTTACATACAGACACATGTCTGTGGCTTAGATATAGGTTTAAATATATATATATACCCGATATATATCTTTGTATATAAAACCACGCCCGCTGGCTGTGCTGAAAGTGAAGCATCTTGTGCAATGTAAACGAAACGTAGCCGATAAAAATAATACGAGAGGCAATTTCGATTTATTGACAGGTGCTCGACTTTATTGAAACGTTTAACTTGAAAACGTAGTATGCTCACTCCATTCTGAAAATATACATATATATATTGCACACATGCAAAATTGTGCAAAACGATAAAAATTATGTGAATTTCGTTTTGATTTATCGCTGTGAGCAGAGCTTGGGTGCCGGGCTGGATTTTATGGGCCCAGATTTATGACTCCTTCGGAAAAGGAGCAAACACAGGATGTGCATCCGAATTTTGGGACAAATTTAATTACAGTTTTACCTTGTGTCTTGTGTGGATCAGCCACGCACTATTTGTCATTTTGTTTGGGCGAAGAGACGAAGAGACCCCATAAATTCCGATGTGCATTTAATTTTGTCGAGCCGCACGTACGCATCAATGCCTGGGCATTATTTAATAATGAAAATTGAATAGTCCTAATTCAAGCTGATGACAAAGTGGGTCCAGGTGTATATATACATGTGTGTATATAAGGACACGTGCCACTCAAACGCACACAGGACACACAGGACGCCCCTCCAATTGTGGTTTTCCTTTTGTCGCTTCCGTTTCCGCATAATTTTTGCAAGCGGAAAACTTGAGAGCGCTAACAAAACATTTGTTAAAACGGAAGACGGCAAACGCAGACAAAGGCGATGGTTTACCGGCAAGATAGAGAGCACTAAAACCCCCTTTAAGCTTACGTAATTTGGTCTGCAGAAGTCTCAGGTCCAAAATACAGGACCAAATGCGGGCACGTACGTACCAAAAATGCCCCAAGTTCTCCACTTCATTTTCCCAGAAGGCAAAGGGGTCCAGGTCCACAGGTCCACAAAGGTTGCATGTGATTTGTGTCGGCGGCGGCGAAGTCGCGCGCCCTCCAGGATATGTCCTATGTCCCAGACTATATATTATGCCGCCGGGCGACAGTTACAACAATAAAACATTTCGGATGCCTCCTTGTCTTGTCGCTCGTCTTTTGGACCCCTCTCTCCCACCCCCTCCGCTTGTTATCCTTCCTCCTGCCGCATCCACATCCACATCCTTATTCACGCACCTGGCCAAAAGGGCTGAGCCTGAACGTAATGAACGATGCCTGGCATTTTCTTGTTATTTTTTCATGCCGCAAGCGGCGGGCGGTCGACGGGCGATGGGCGACATTATCCTTGTAGTTAATGTGGGCGTCCGGCTTTCACAGGCTGTGCACGCACTGCCTCCCACCTGCAGGCACAGTGGGGCAAAAGTTATTTATAGAAGGGTTCCGGGTAAACTTAGCTAGGAAATGCCAGTTAATAAGTAGTTGGTCTAGATTTAAACTGCAAAGGTCGGTTTAGAGATTAATTTAATTAGGCTAATAATAAACCTATTAGCACTTAAATTTTTACTAAATTCTTGAAAGGTTAGGTTTTAGATATTCTATAGGTTCCTTGAAATGTGTATGCTCATTAATGAAGTTATTTAAATTATTTAAAAGTTTTCAAATTTCAGTGGCAAATTGTATGCATTGAAAAGCATAATACTTAAAAATAAATTATAAATATAAACAAATAAAAAAAAAAAAACAATTATTAATACATATATTAATAACTAATTCAAAATAAAGGGTAAATCACCACTATTATTAAAAACTTATAGAAAAGGACATTAAACGTGAAGAAAAATTAAAATACTCGAAATCATGGCTATAAAAATGCTTATAATATATTACGATTTTCTTTAAATATTTTGGTTTATTTTCCCCTAAATGTGGTTCCACGGTACCATTTCGCCTGCAGTCTGACATGCAGCATGCCTCGTGGCAGAGATAATGGCGCCGCAGTGTCCTTTATCCTTCATCAGTCCGGGGATTGCCGCGCCCACTGACTTGGCTCGGCGGTTGACTCGCAAATAACCAAGCGGCATGGACTGCAGGTGAGGCCTCTTGCCTGCTGCCTTCTGCCGGCGGAAGTGACAATGAGAACGCATTTAAAATTCATTAATTGAACGCATTTCCTGCTGAACGAAGTCGATCTTCCAGCCTGCTGGCGCCTTATTACTCCATCCATTTGTATGCTGTAATTGAGGGCATTCGGACATTCGGAAATTCCATTCTCTCGCAAGCCTTTCAAGGCAATTTTTAAGGCTTCTTCGAGCCGAAAACTTTACTTCACACTGCATAAATTAATTGAGTCTTCAAACAACGGACTGTGTCTGCGGTTTGGCTTCTCTCCGGGGCGATAGAGTGTGTGCAGTTTTCGTGTTAAGGGCGGAAAAGTGGGAGTCCTGTCTCTGTGGGCAACCGCACCATCAAAAACTTTTGCCAACCGGCTCCTCGAGTCTGCTGGCTGCAGCGTCTAATGCATTTTTCATGCCCAGTTTGAATGGCAGCCCAGCCTCAGCGGCTGCTCTGATGCAATCGAATTAAAATTTATGACAAAACCATTAACAAAGTTGCCCCTTTTGGGAGCTCCGCCCCGATGACGTTCAACGGAGGGGCACATGCAAAAACTTTCCTCACTTTTTTATGTAGTGTCTTCAGATTTAAGAGACTCATTCGGTCGAGACGGCGGCTAAACTTCCCAAATTAATCGATGGCTGCAACGATTTAAGCGTCGACAGCAATTAGCTGAAGAGAAAGACAAAATATGGTCGAGTAATAAGTTTCAGTATATTCACGAGTATTTCGAGTATGAACCATAGTCAGAGAGAATCCCTGCTCGGGCGCCACTTGATCTGCGACACTAGATCCCTGCTCAGGCGCCACTGTAAAAATCTGTTTATTCATATGTTAAATCTAAATATAAAGAGTTTTGAAAATTAGAAGAAT